GAGGGGGTACAAGGAGCAAATTAACTTTAAAATTTGGCGGAGTTTATAATTATCATATTTTATTTTTTATAATGTAGTTAGAAACGAATTTAGTAAAGTTATTTCAAAGTTTTATTTTTGTTTTAGACTTTTGTAAACAGTACATCAAAACTCTTAAAAAACATCCCTGCTCTCGATGCGGGACTCGAAATAAATAATGTAAGTAACAGCCATGTCTATTGCAATGCTAAAAAAAAGATTTAGAAGGACATTTGTAAAAAATAAAAAAAGTAAAAACTGAATGATAGTCAAATTCACAAACCATTTAAAAAGGGTTAGAAAGAAAAAGATTCGAAAAGAACACGGAAAGGAAAGGGAAAAATAAAGAAAAGGAAAGGAAAGGAAAGGAAAGGAAAGGAAAGGGAAACTTGGGATAGTGAAATAAATTTTAATGTCTCACGATCATTTTTGACGATGTATCACCAATTGAAACTGCGCGTACGTTTTCACATTATAAAGGTATCAGGGTACCCCTAGCGACCATTGTGCATTCAACTCTTAATAGCAAAAAACCTTTTAATYGAAACCTCAACAAAGTATACATTTTCTGAAAGCTGAATAAATGCAGAAACTATTCCTTATTTCCTTTTTGTGAAATATATTTATCCTTATAAGTTAGAACGAATTATTCAAATTTTCACCGTGGCACCTTCGCGGAGTTCGATGACAGCTGGTAATGATCGGAAACCAATGCTTATTGTATTTCCGAGATCACAAGACATCACTTGTCAAAARYATGTCTCCGATTTTTGATTAAATGCCCCGTTGCTTTTTTTACGCTCTTAAAGTTATGACRCTGCTATATCACATGCATTCWAGCCAAAATCCACGATAACGTATTTTCTTTATTACTCGCTATTAAAAATCACTATCAAATTTTTGGGGGGAATCGAAGAATATTATGTATTTTATCGCAAAATGTAAAAATGTAAAAATCGATACTTTTGAGCAATTCTGGGGTACCCCGATACCTTAAAGGCAATAATTAGCAAACGCACATAAGTTCCATTTAAGCAACAACAAACGAAGTTATCTGATTCTAATTTAATTAAACAACCTAACAGGCAACAAAATAACGAAACAGTTAACGAACTTAGAATGCGACCAACCCATTTATTTACTTCTAATTAAAAAACAAAATCAATGGCGTCGTAATCTTTTGGTTGTGTCATTCCTTTATTTTTCGGGCGCAAGGTATCGTATGGATGGAGTATCTCAGTTTTATTAGAAAAGTTCTGTATTGGTATCGCTGAAGCCATGATTAACAAAGGAATGACTGGAAAATCACTGGAAGCATATACAGACAATCTGGGTGAGTCACGACTCAATATTTGTAACTCTGACATTGATTTGCTTTACCTGTCAAAATAGAATACAACTTTATTATTGAGATACTTTATTACTAGTTTTTACCTTCAAATGTTAAAAAAAAGTTTCGATTTTGTAATTTTTTTGGCCTGTTTAAGACAAGCCCAGAAAAAGTAATAGATGTTGTGTATTCCGATCGTTTCAGTTATTCGCTTATCTTTGGTGGACCTCACTAACTTTAGTGGGTATGAATTTGGTGATGTTGGTGTTGAAAAGGGAACAATCAAGATCCCTCTAGAAGTTTTCAAGAAAGAAAGTGGTATACTATAAT